TTCCTGGTGCCACTATTGTCATGTATTGAAAACGGAGGGCAGTTTGTGGACAGGACAAATGTAATGTATGTAAAACAGATGGCTGTCTGTAGGCAGGACGTGTACTGAAGACGAGAGCACAGTTCAAGTGACGATTAACGTTGACACCGCGGTGTATATGGTGTAGGGTAAATGTAATAGGCCGAATGCTGGCCAATCAGAATAAAGACAGGGGTGAACCCGCTAGCCAGGAGTGAAGAAAGGGGTGAACACGTGTCCATGACCTTGACCTTCACCAGCGCTAGACACGCGCATCGCGTCATTATGTATCGACACTAGGGCAGACATAGCAACTATCACTGCCTTTCCAAGATAGTGTCGATCAATATCTAAACGGCCCGACCGAGAGCTGTTTGGACAGCGACGCAGTGGTGCTGTTGACCCGCGGATTGGACCGCATCTATGAAGGCTCCCTGCAGTCTGTGCACGCACGCACGCACGTGTTTCCTGCTTTTATAATGGTACACTTTGCGTAATTTTTCTCTCTTTACGAGAGATGAGACGCACAGATCAAGTTGTAGGGCCTACGCGTCTCGTTCTGCCTTGGGGCTAAATACGGTCTCCCTGGTGGATAGCGGTAGTTCTATTTGTTTTTCCTAAATTAGCTACTGAACTTCAGAATCTGTTAGGTGACCTCCCGGCAGAATAGTTGAGTCTCCCGCGAAAATGCATGTCATATTGCGATAACTTTTGAGAAGGAGTACATACTGCCGTGTCCCAATCCTAACATTAGGCCCAAGTCAAACCGTAACCTTCCCCGTAGTCTTATCTTAACCTTAGTTCTACCCCAAAATTAACACCAATCCCAACAGTAAATCTCTTCCTCATTTCCCTGGTGAGGCAACATGAAAGATCCCTGCCAAATTATCGTCTCCTTTCTAAAATAAACGCCAACATTAGACCTGAAACGAAAAAAAACCCGAATTAACAGTATTTATCTCGAGCTTTTTATATATCAGTGGGATTTTTCAATTGGAAGAAGCCAGTGAAAAGGGAAGGAGTTGCGGAGTTTACCGTTATACTAACAGCATTTGGAGGTCTTCAGAAAAGACAGCTAAGCTGGAAACCTAGGCTGCCGAAGACAGTTGATTCGTAAGTTAGCTAGGCTTTTGAGGCCAGAAAAACCTATTATTGGTGACGGTCGGATGTGTGATCTCAGTCAAAAAACGGTAGGTCAAGACTCCCGTACTACGAGAATGACTGTGCCAAGGGTTTGAGCGGTGGAATAAAAGAAATTAACAGACAACTGTTTTCGGGAATTAAAATTCAAAAAAATGAATTAGCTCAAGTGACTTAGTTAAATACACGAATAAAGCCCAAAATGTGAGTACACGATTTAAAAAAGTGGAAATTTGTGCTGGAAATAAATGGGAAAACAAAATCTGAGGACAATAGTTAAATATTCTTCGCAAAGAGATCCCAGTTTTTGATGACCAATCATATCGAAGGAGAAAATAAGAAGGATATATTGTTAACATCGATTGGCATGATAACTGTGATCTGAAATAAAATAGATGTTGGCAACGTTGGTAGCCCAACCCCTATCTTTAAGCATAAACTTATGTCTAAGGCCTGATCTTAGCTCAATGCCGAACAGTAATCCTAGTGGTAGAAGTTGAGGGAGGCGTGACAGTGAATGAGTGGCACGAAAGAGGATTTAAAATAAGCCTACCTAAATGACATAAGTAGGTATATTTTTGACGTAATGCCTAGGTAAGGCCACATATCCGATTTTTATCACAGTATTAAATAAAAAAACTGATTGAACTGATAAATTAATTAAATCTGAACGAATTTGTTATGTGACAGGACAATAAACTGTTTTTGTTACAGTTTACTTTGATTCGAGCAACCGCGACATACCTCGGCATTCAGCATAGTAGCGAATGATGGAGTCAGGCGAGGCCCGGTGACCGTGGAAGTATCGTTCATCACCGCAACGTGCGTCGTTGGTCCGGCAGTAGCAGATGTTTCGGTAGAAGTCACAGAGATGCGAGTAGGTGACACCGTCCACGCATACCTGTAGGCGGTGCACACAGAGAGCTTCAATACTTCGCCAATAGAATTGAATATGCAAGTTCCAGAGAACAGTTCAGAAGAAGAAGAAGAAGAAGAAGAAGAAGAAGAAGCGACCACTGGAACAAGAGTTATATTGTTCTGACGTTTCGGATTTCGTCGGGAATACTTAATCATAGGTAATCGTAAAAAAGTCTGAGAAATGCGCAGGTAAGGGTGATACATGCACAGACTGCACCGTATTTATATTTCAAAGCGGTCATCCGCATGTATACTATAATTGTCAGTTCCTGTAGCCACCCATAAGTCGAGAAGCCTGTGCAGGAATCGAATCTGCGCATACGTAGACGACTTTCGAATGGCAAATGATTCGATTCCTGCACAGGTGTCTCGACTTATGGGTGGCTACAGGAACTGGCAATTATAGTACGCATGTCGATGACCGCTACGAACTATAAATACCGTGCAATCTGTGCATGTATCACCCTTACCTGCGCATGTCTCAGACTTTTTTACGATTACCTATGATTAAGGATGCCTGACGGAACCCGAAACGTCAGGACAGTAAAACTCTTGTTCCAGTGGTTACTACTTTCTCATGCAATCACCAAACATGTACACTTTATTTCACAAGTGGATTGAAGAAAATTACTAGGGCAGGCTGCTTTTGTCAACGCACCAACACAGTGCTAATTCCCAGACCGACAGTTAGTTTTTAAATGTCATAAGTTCGGCGGTGGCCAGCTGCATCTAGTAATATTAACAGGCAACCTCATATACCCTAACGCCAACTGAATGTGTTGGACAGATTGACCTGCATCAGAGTCGACAACATGGAGGCTTATTTTCAAACCACAACCATTTTCTACGGCTACTTTGCCGGGGATTAAAACGGCAAACTTAGCCGATTAAAGTCACTTCCAACAGTAAACTTTTAAAGGTTAAATATAATGGAGAAATAGCAAGCGTAAGATCAGCAGGGCATACAGCAATTGCGATAATTTTGCAGGCAGTAAAATGGTAATACATAAGTATTTGACAGGGCATTGGGGCTATCTCCAACAGCGTGTTGTAATGCAAATCAGGTCGGTAATATCGCAGCTCACTTTCGTGCTGGTAAGCTTTTGAAACTGAGCCACCATGTTTTCCGTTCTCCTTGTGCATGTAAGGTTTCTTATACATACATCGGTTGGTCGATTTTATCAGTAGTATACTGGTTTGAAAAGTAGTAGACGACTCGATCGCTGAGACAATAGGTTTATTCGCCTGCGTTTCGAAATCCGTCGCGGATTCATCATTAGAGACATACTCACAGAACAGTAGCAGAAAAGTTTGTGTGTGCACAGGGATTTGCCTTAAAATTTAAAGGTACAGAAAATGTCAATAAATGCCCTGACTGTGCGCTGATTCGTTGCGTCAGCAATGACCATCTGGTCCTGCGGTGTTGACCTAGGATTATGTGGTGACCTGTCTGTTCCCCGAGCGGCGACTTGCTTTGGCAAATTTAGTCTCAGCACCGAATATGGATTGGGTAAATCGTTGCACATGCTGATGGATTGGGGGCCCCATGAACCATGACTCAAGTAATTTTCGGCTCACTCGATTGTCCCCTCTTGCGAGAATTTCGGACTCATCAAATTTAATTGTGTAGGCCGGGTCTCGTCGAATGAGCGCAACTTGAGAATTGGCATCGTTTCGCCGCACTGCTGTCTCGTCGAATGAGCCGCAACTTGAGAATTGGCATCATTTCGCCGCACTACCGTCGCGTGTTCGGCAATTCGCATTTTAAGAAGCTTGCCAGTTTCTCCGACATAGTTGCTATGCCCGCTGTGCAGCGAAAATAATGCCACAAAGCTGATCGGTTTGACTGAATTTTAACTAATAAAGCTAATACAGAAAAGATATGCTTTTTCTCCACAACATTGGGCACTGAATGGCTAAAAGGCAGCGGAAGAGTAGTTGAGAAAGGGAAGTAATTGGACACACAAACTGTCAAATGGACATCTGTTTCCTTCGAGTTGCGGCCCCTTTCTGCTAATAGGCTGTAAATCCGACAAGCTACATTTCACTAAGAGCTCGAAATATTTACCGGATGCAGATAAAGTTGCTAAAAAAAATCGGAATTAGACCACCTACCTTTGATTGGTGGTTCGACCAATCTCGGGGGCAAGAATCATAACAAATACATTTCCCCTTCTGACAGTACTCGCCCATGGAGCACTTGACATCAGCGCAGGAATTGTCATCGTCTGCAAGCAGAGAATAAGGGCTTGTTAGGTTTTTTTTCTACAAATTGGCTGGAAAGCCAAAACTATGGATAAAACCTTAGGGCCACCAGCGACTCTGTTAGAGTGTCGTCTGTGTAGGTCTGTGCTCGCGAAGAATAGAAAATTACTCCCAGTGCTAACTTTAGACCCAGCTTTCAAAGTCCCGTGTAAAAGGCGAACTGCAACCCTGTAGGCGGCTCACAATACTGTTGATCGTTTTCCATGTCCTGTAAGCAGGCGGACCTGGGGTACAAATAAGCAGCTGTCTGGATATGTGATCTGGTCCAGTGATGAGAACTCTATGCGAAAAATTCGAGGTCCAGATAAAAGAGTCCTTTCATCATCCCCGGAAGAAGAAGAAGAAGAAGAGACGATTTCTTGGACTAAGGTGTATTTTGGCTGACGTTTCAAAAGCATGCTTGCTTCCATCGTCAGAGCGTGGTGTCTGTACTCCTTTTCGCGTCACTTGAATTTGTCCGAGCACTAGCCTTGCCTAATGCCCATGTGTCAATCGATCGCACCAATCTGTGATAGAAGAACCACTCATTCGCCTTTGAAAAAACAAGGGTAATAGGCCGAGCCAACGATAAGATGGCCAGATTGCTGCTAAAAAATTCATCCTCGACTGGCACACTAATCAGAGCCATGGACCTTCATCCCGCCTACCAAGCGCTCCGCAGGAGGCTAACATCGGCTCAGAACGGAGCAATAGGTAGGGCGGAGAGAGGTAAGCAGGGCCGACAGCCGGCAGCCGCGAGAAAAGAGGGTGAAAACACTCATGAGACACAAAAACGACTTGAAACAGCTCATGAAGACGCCCGTGAGGGCACGAGCAATTCAAACAGTCACATAAGTCGATCGGCGAAATCGATTGACCCATGGGCATTAGACAAAGCTAGTGCGCGGAGACATTCATGTAACGCGAACAGGAGCACAGATACCACGCTCTGACGATGCAAGCGAGCACGCTTTTAAAACGTCAGCCAAAATACACCATGGTCCCAGAAATCGTCTAATCTTCTTCCTCTTCCGGGGATGATGAAAGGAAGATGAAAACTCTGTCTACGCATCAGACGGCTAGAGAACACGCTCTAAAAGACATTCTTCCAAGCCCTGACTGGAGCTAGTGGCAGCTTTTGAAAATCACACGCCATTTATTAAACGATGGCACGCGTACATCCCTTTTTTTCTATAGCGTGGTGTCACTCATTTTGATAGAAGGGTCGTCCACGCTAGCAGATAACCTGACGGTCAACCAATCAGCATGGAGAGTAGCACTGGTAGCCAACCAACTCGTGCGATAGAAGGTAGACACAGTCGACCTCAGCCAGACTAGATTCCCGAAGAGGTGATTAACAGGATGAGAAGTCCTCATCACCCTAGATCTGCCGGTCACTCGGCAGACAATAAAAGCAATCCAATGGATGTTAAGTACAAACATCACAAAAAAGAGCCTGGTCGTCGTTGCCTGCTATTTGTCATAGAGGGAGAGAGATCACAAAACTTGAATCAATTTCCATAAAACTTTCACATTTTTCGCAGAGTTTTTTGACGTCATAAACAGGAATGGATTCTTAAAAGTGAAGAAGAAATGCTAAAGTTCAAGTTGGTGGTCAGCTTAACCAACAACGGGTGCACCTTAGTTGTGATGAAGCAGGTTTACATATTGACCTAGAATTTAAAGAAAATAGTTAACTGTGAGAAGGTTGTATATTATCCCACATATGGAGAACACAATTGAAGTCTAAATTCCTAGTCAAGATGGGAATTCGACGCAATTAAAATTTCTTCATCTTCGAATGCGCCGACATTGGACTCGAAAGTAACAAAGCGAAGTCGATGACCACACATCAACCCTCACCAGTTTCGAATTCTTCGAAACCATGGTTACTATCGAATAGGTATATCTTTCGTCGTAATGATTCCCTTTCAGACCGATAACCATTTCCAGTAGTACCCGACAGGTTTGCTGGCACCCTATGGCAAAAGTTTGAAATGAAATAGCTATTTATCGTTAGAGGCGAGATTTAGATCCCAATGGCCCTGTTTGCAAGCAACACAGTCAGTTCAAATGCCGTACACGCAGGTATGCATAACAGTTATCAAAGGGGCAACAGTAGCTTATGTAGTCCCATTTATTAGTCTCTGCTTCCAGCATGTTGTTCTACGAAAAAGGTAGTTAAAGGGTTTTGTAGGTGGGGAATTAGGATACGCAGTGAAATATACTTTAATAACTGCTATATGCATTTCTATTTTATTGTATTTAGAAATGTTGTTGATATACAGGGTGTCCACAAAGTCTGGGTACATAGAAATTTTAATATTTTATTTATTTATGTTATTTTTGTTGGGACGGCGGGGCCCCATTATTAGTCAACAACGCTTAGGCTCTCAGCGCAGCTGCAGCGCAAAGTTCCACACCGTGGCTTGACAAGGCGTCAATAATTATCGATTTTCCGTCCTATCTGATTGGACTGGTTTCAGCAGGATGT